TTGTGTGTAGATTATATACTTTATAGTCCAGGCTAGGTAATAATTTTATAATATTCCGTAATTTATGTGTGAGTGATGCATGTGCTAGCATAATGATAAATGTTGGAGGTGTGGATGCAATTTCTGCTGGTTGTTTTGACTGCATTCTTGTTTTTTTTTATTTTTAAAAATTTTAATTTTAAATTTGAAAAGAAAAGAACTAGGCATTTCATTATTAATACAAGGAGGAATGCCAAAATCTGACATCCGCTGAATTAGATACTCGTTTACATGGTAGATGTGTTCGCTTGTCAATTGTTATGGAATTGTAATATTTCTTTACACATTAAAGTTTAGTCCTGCTCTGTACAGAATGTCCTGCACTGGTTAAAGTTAATCTGAGATTTAGATGTATGATATGAGGTTGTTTCTCTTTGTCACAACAGGTGTCCACGGCTGAAGAGACTAGTGATGCCAGCTTGGAACAGAATTAAAAAAACTGGAATCTGCAAGGCCATTCGCTGCTGGAAAGACCTTGAATCTCTGACAATGCCTAGCATAGCGAATCCCCCATACCTTATGGAGGAGATTGCCATGAACTGCAAAAATTTCAATGAACTAAAGATCATGGGGCCTTGCGACATCTTCTTTGCTTCGACTCTAGTTGCGTATCTTCCAAAACTGAAGGTTTTAAGCCTCCGATGCTCAATGCTCTTAAGGGACGCGTTAATCATTATCTTGGATGGCCTACAACACCTAGAAGTTCTCAATATCTCACATTGCCTTGTAATTGATACCGCTCCGCCTCGTGCACCCAGGAGACTTATTAAAGAACTCGATCCAGTTATTCTGGACAAGGCATCTCGTTTACGGATGTTCTTAACTTGCATGCAAGACTCGTGCATCATGTGCCAAAGGACCAAAAACGACGAGGGACTCATGAGGTGGTATAAGTATGAAGAAGGGCTATGGCTAGAAGATGAGGTGAGGTCCCTTGCTTATTGATGATGAGAGCAAGGGAATGAGACTCTAATTGTATTTGTGGGTTAGAAGCTAATTAGCTCGCTTGTGTAGTCTCTGCCTTTGGTGAATGTTTTGCCTTATCACACCCGATAAAGCTCCATCTCCTCTTCTTCGTTAACGCATAAATAAAACTGCCTGATGAAGAGAGGTGTTTCTAAATAATACATGTTTCAGTACTGTACATTATGTAATTACTTGTCTTTCTTATGTGCCTGTTTTTTTTGAAAGCTGTAGGGCTAGTTTGGTATTGCTGCTGTGCTGTGAGAATAAACAGCTGTGAAAAAAAAACAGCTAGGCGTTTGGTAAATTGTATTAGAAAAAGTGCTGTGAAGAGTCAAAGTGTTTGGTAAATTTTTATTAA